ATTTGTTTCCATTCTTAGAAGCACAAAATAAAAAAGAAGAGGAGAAAGAAAGAAGCAAGCCACGGTCCAGAGAGGTTACCCAAGGTCTCACAGTAGTGAGTGACACCCAAGTCATCTGCTGCAGGGTCCTTGTCTTTCTTCTTTTGTTTGTTCGTTTTTACTCTTTCTTCTCTTGAGATAGGGTCTCCAGTAACTCACGCTAGCCTGGACCTTACTAGGCCATCAGGCAGACCTTGAACTCCTGCTCCTCTTGCCTTTGCCTCCCAAGTGCTGGGATTACAGATGCGCACACCATGCCTGGCTTCCTTTCCTCTCTGGTTCTCCACATTTAGAACAGCCTAATTAAGTGCGCTCTAGCCTAAGTGCTTATTCAGTGCCAAGTGGTCAGCTCTAAACACACACGCGTATGAGCAACACTAAATTGACTCAGCAGCCTGCACTTATGTATTCTTATGTGCGTGTATATGTCATGATAATACTTTAACAATGAAAACAATAGAGATGATGCATCAAAGAAGAAGAGGGGCATAGGGGGCTTGAGGTCGAGGAGGGGGAGCAGTGGGAGGGGAGCGGGATCGAAGACGATCAAAATATATTACATACATGTATGAAATGCCATGAAGGAGCCCAATAGTTTGTTCAATTAATAGGTGCTTAAAATGACTATATACAAAGATATATATGTAAGGTAAAGACCTTACAACCACGGCAATACTCTTAAATCTTCCCCGAGGAGAAATTAGGAACATTCCAGTGGCTGCATTCAAGGCTCAGAGGATTTGGAGGTTTCTGGAGTCCCTGTTAGGGACAGTGAGCACTCTTCTTAGGACACTGCATGAGCTGGAATCTGCTCTAAGTAGTCCATGGGCTGGACTCATCCCCTCCTCAGAGATGGCTCAGTGGTTAAGAGCACTGGTTGATCTTCCAGAAGTCCTGAGTTCAATTCCCAGCAACTACATGGTGGATCACTACCATCTATAATGAGATCTTTTATCCGAGTGGGGCATGCATTACTCTGTAATCCCGCACTGGGAGGCTGAGGCAAGACGGCCATGAGCTTGATTCTAGGTCACATAGTGAGTTCCAGAGTTCTGGGCTAGCCTGGGCTAGTGTGAGACACAAAACCACCCACTATAATGTTAAAACTCAAGTGCAGGGCTTGAGAGATGGTTCTGCAGTTAAGCACTGGCTGCTCTTCTAGAGGACCAGGATTTGTTTCTCAGCATCCACGTGGTGGCCTCCATGATCAGTGTATGGCTGTGGTACAGCTCTATCCATGCGAACAAAACACCCATTACATAAAATATAACATATGAGTTAGCCAGTGTAGTGGTGCACACCTTTAATTCCAGCACTCAGGAGGCAGAGGCAAGAAGATCCCTGTGAGTTCAAGACCAGCCTGGTCTGCAGAGTGGGTTCTAGGCCAGCCAGGGCTACAGTGAGCCCCTGCCTCAAAAAACAAAACAAAAGCAAGCACATCCATCACAGGCCTGGGAAAGCGGCTCAGTCAACAAAGTGATTGCTGTAAAGAATGAGAACCTACGCTCAGTTCCACCGTCCATGTCAGGCCCAATATGGTGGCAGGCGCTTGTAGCCCCAGTGCCTCAGGTGAGAGACAGGGAAGATCCCTGGGGCTTGCTGGCCAGACAGTCTAGCTAACTGGTGAACTTCAGGTTCAGGGAGAGACCCTGTCTCAAAAAAAAAAAAAAAAAAAAGGCAGAAACTGATTGAGAAAGACACCTATGTTCTTCTGTGGCCTACACATATGTGCACAAAAACATGGGCACACACATATACACAAATAAAACCTTCAACTGGTGGCACAAGTTGACCAGAACTCATATATAGCTTCTCCTTTTGGAGGGTTTGTTTGCTTGTATTTTGATACAGGGTTTCTCTGTGTTGCCCTGGCTGTTCTGAAACTCACTCTGTAGACCAGGCTGGCCTCAAACTCAGAGATGCACCTGCCTCTGCCTCCTGACATAGGAGACATCTTATAGGCTGACTTTATGTCTCTTAATGGGACTATCTAGGCTATTTGGCTTGGTTTGGGACGTGGTTGTTGATACCGAACCAGCCAGAGTTCTTATATAGTCACGTACACAAACTATGGATGAGTCATGATTTCAGGTGCAGATCCAGCTGTGGCCACAGCTGCAAGCCCTACCTCAGCTTCAGGTGTCTTTCACCATGGTATCGGACTGTGTTTGGAGTCCTTCAGATATGTCATCTTGAAATCTGGGTGGTTCTTACAGGATGCAAGCCTGCAATCCCAGTTCTTTGAATGCTGAGGCAGGAGGATTTCAAGTTCAAGACCAGACTGAGCTACATTGTGAGACTCTGTCTCAAAGACTCAACATACACACACACACACACACACACACACACACACACACACACACACACCATCTTAACACTGGTCGTGTGCCCAGATGATCTGGGTTATGGGCATACACTCAGGCTTGTGCTTTATAAAGTGATGGGTGGTCCCATCAAAACATGAACAGGCATTGCAGGGGACAGGGAATTGGGGTGGCATCAGTAGGAAAGGATGGGGTTTCGGGGAAGGGCTCAATTTCCCCTCAGCCAGAACCCATGGAGCTTGGATGGAGAGAACACAGCAGAACTGGATCTCTGACCTGCCTCCATATCTGGGCTCCCAGGCTTCCTGGCACTGGATCCCCAGCATTCAGAAGCCAGCAGGGCTGTCGGCTGTGAATGAAGCAGCTCTGTGTGCATCAGCAGAAAGAGAAAGCCAGGGCTGAGGAACAATACAGCTGCGGTCAGCACAGCCTGGCTAGGGAAAAGGGCAGCAGTCAGCTGGAGAGCACCAGCTTCAGGTGAAGACAGCTGGGTTCAATTATTTAAAAACCGGGGGAGGGGCAACAAGATCGCTCACTGGGGTAGAGGCACGTGCTGCCAAGCCTGACCCCTGAGTTTGAGCCCTGGGGACTTGCAATGACTCCTGAAAGTTGTGCTTTGACTCCCATGTGAGCACAGCTGCACATGCCCCTGCCCAAGTCCCAGGGCCAAGCAGTTCAACATATTCTCCAAGGACTTAGGTCATCACAGCAAGTCTCCTTGAGAGTGCAGGTGTGTGTGTGCACATGTGTGTGTATGTGTGCATGTGAGAGTGTGTGTGAGTGTGCCTGTGAGGGTGGGAGTGCACATGTGCGTGTATGTGTGTGGGAGGGTGTGTGTGTGCACAAGGGTGTGTGTGTGTGCGCGTGTGCACATGTAAGTGTATACATGTGCATGTGAGAGTGTGTGTGAGTGTGTCTGTGAGGGTGGGAGTGCACATGTGTGTGTATGTGTGTGAGAGAGTGTGTGTGAGTGTGAGGGTGGGAGTGCACATGTGTGTATATGTGTGCGTGTGAGAGTGTGTGTGTGAGTGTGCCTGTGAGGGTGGGAGTGCACATGTGTGTATGTGTGTGTGAGAGAGTGTGTGTGAGTGTGAGGGTGGGAGTGCACATGTGTGTATGTGTGCGTGTGAGAGTGTGTGTGCGTGTGCACATGTGCATGTATGTGTGCATGTGAGAGTGTGTGTGTGAGTGTGCCTGTGAGGGTGGGAGTGCTCTCCAGCAAAAGGCATTCATTTTTCATAGCTTTTGGTAGCTGAAGTCAATATGAGTGGAAATTGTGTTTGTCCTATAAACTGGTATACCCCTCCCTTTCTCTGTCTCTCTCTTTATGATGGCAGTGCCTAGGGCCTCACACAAGCCAGGCAAATAATTTACCACTGAGCTGCAGCCCTAGCCCTCCTCATGAGTGACTTCTAGGTCGCTTCTTTATTGCTAAACCATATCCTAGTTCTAGCTCTTTTGAGACAGGGTCTTCCTGGAATATCAGGCAGGTGGCACCAGGCCTGGATAGCTCTGTGTATTTTGTATTCAGTTGACCCGAATCAGCATTTGAGCAGAGGGTCAGTCCTTGAGCATTTCCAATACTTAGGATGGGTCTCACTTGAGCCAAATGAAAAAAACAACCAATGTGGACCTGGGCATGGTGGCACACACCTTTAATCCCAGCACTCAGGAAGCAAAAGCAGGCAGATTTCTGTGAATTCAAGGCTAGCCTGGTCTACATAGAAAGTCCCAGGCCAGACAGGATTATATGGTGGGACCTTGTCTTAAAAAAATTCAGAGGTTTAAATCTTACTTTATAAAAGCTATTTATCTCTACAAAGAAATCACAGTTTTAGTATAATCTACACATAACTTTATGGTGCTTAGCATCAATACTGACATTTCATTTTTCCAGAATTGATATTATAAGGCAAGAAGGCTTTGTGTGTTGGGGGTAAGAATCAGAATCTGGGCTTGTATTCTAAGACCTTTGGATATGCAGGATTTTGTTGTTGTTGTTGTTGTTGTTTGCTTCAGATAAGGTCTGCAGCCCAGCTTGATTTGGAAGTCACAATGGCCCAGACTGGTTTCACACCCAGCCATCCTGCTGCCTCAGCCTCCCAAGTGCTGTAAAGGTGTGAGCTTTTCAGTCAGACTCCCAAGGCACAAATTCCAGCTCTAATCATTTGTTTGGTTGCCCCCTCCCACCTTGGGTGTCTCAAGAAAGGATTTCTCTGTGTAGCCCTGGCTGTCCTAGAATTCATTCTGTAGATCAGACCAGCCTCTAACTCACAGAGCTCTGCCTGCCTCTGCTTTCTGAGTGCTGGGATAAAGGCGTGCGCCACCACTGCCCAGCTAATTGTCATTTTTTCCAGGTTATTATTCATCACACATATGTGACGTGGGTACAGCGAGCCACAACTGTGAGCCACTATGTTTGTGCTGGGACTCGAACCCAAGGCCTCTGAAAAGGCAGCACGTGCTCCTAACTGCCGCGCCATCTCTCCAGCTCTGAGAGTGTCCAGCTGTGACTTACGACCTGTTTCCCTCCATATAAAATGGTGACTGGGGACAATCTGGGGGGAGGTGAGGTAGCAGAAACTGCAATCAGAATGGAATTTTCTTTATTTTTGGTTTTGTTTTTGTATCTTTTTTAAGGGGAGAGCAAGAACACAGTTTCCATTACCACACATTATGCAGTCAAGTTTCCTGAATTTGGGGAAATTGCAGTGGTCAGCACGCCCTGAGTAAAGTGGATGAGCCTCATCCTAGGAAAACCACCTCTGTGATCATGGTTTCTCCCCTGCCAGGTGAGTATACAACAGGAATTCTCTTTCTTTTTTTCCTTCTTTCTTTTCTTTTCTTTTTTTTTCCAAGACAGGGTTTCTCTGTGTAGCCTTGGCCATCTTGGAACTTGCTTTGTAGACCAGGCTGGCCTCGAACTCAAATATTTGCCTGCCTCTGCCTCTCAAATGCAGGGACTAAAAGCATGCACCATCACCGCCAGAGGATATGAATTTTCAATTTAAAAGCTGTATGAATTTTCACTTAAAAATGGTGATAATCCAGGCATGGTGGTGCATGTCTTCAGTCCCAACACTGAAGAGCCAGAGGCAGGCAGACCTTTATGGGTTCAAGGCCCATGTGGTCTGCATATCAAATTCCAGGGCTACATAGTGAGATGCTGTACCAAAAACTAATAGCAATAAGATCAAATATTTACTACATGTGAGGCATTGTTATTGTGGCCTGGAACTCAGTATGTAGCCTTGGCTGGTATAAACTTATAACAATCTTCCTGCCTCTCGGCCTCTAGTACTAGGATTATAATCAGGAGACACCACACTGAGTTCTCATTTACAAAATTCCATAAGTGTGTGGTGTGTTGGTGATGTTCTCCGCTTTTACAGAGGAGGAAGTGGGATGTCAGGGAAGCAAAGTGACTTATGGAGATCACACAGGTTGTGCCAGGGCTCCCAGCTCCAGAGTACAGCTCAAAGCCGCAGCTGCTGCTACTGGTGATGAAGGTGGTGGTGATGATGATGATGATGGTGGTGGTGATGATGATGATGGTGGTGGTGATGATGGTGATGGTGATGATGATGGTGATGATGATGATGGTGATGGTGATGATGGTGGTGATGATGATGATGGTGATGGTGATGATGATACTTTCGTCCCAGAATTTGGGAGAAAGAGGCAGGAGTCTCCCTGTGAGTTTAAGGCCTCATACCAAGTTCCAAGTCAGATGGTGTTAAATATGAAATTATAATGATAATGTTGAGAAACACCAGACTCTCTCCAAACGCACTTCTCCTTTCCTCATTCTGAGATTCCTGGAGACAGGATCGCCATTTTGGGGCTGAGGTAAGAGCCAGTGGATGGTTGCTTTGCTATTCTGGTCTCCAGGCTGTACCCCAATATCTGTCTCTGGGCTGTTATTAATCGTGCAACAGGTATCTGGAAATCTCTAACGTAGAAGCTTGGGCGATTCTATTCAGTACCACGGCCAGCGCCCGAGCACACTGAGTCTGCGCAGAGCTCCACTCCGCTTGGACAGTGACTCCTTTCCAAGAACCCCGGTGAATTTTGGGTACAAGCTGCCACCTACTCTGAGTATGGCCCTAGGCAGTGATGTAACGCCTTCGACCTTCAATAGGCTTCTCCATGAAATTGGGATAATAAAAAGACTTGCCTCCAGGGTGACTGTGAGGAGTATATTACACAATGTGCATACATTATATATAAAAGTACTTGCCATTTAACCCATAAAACCTGGCCAATTTGTAAGTCTGAGTAGTATCAAGGTGTGCACACACGACCAACACCATCACCGTCGCCAGAAAGGTGGTTCAGAGCTTGTAGACCGGCCCATTGGAAGACAACTTGTAGTAGCCCATTCGCTCATGTTCTGCGGGTCCTGGGGACTCGAACTCAGGTTGTCGGGCTTAGCAACGGGTGCTTTAACGCTGAGTCATTTCACCTGCCTTAATTTTAAAATTTACTTACTTAATTTTGAGACAGGGTTTTATGTCTCCCTCGTATACCGCTACAGACTGCTTGATACTCCTGCCTCCACTTCCGGGGTGCTGGGACTGTAGGCAAATACCGGGAATCAAATACAGGGCTTTTTACATCCTTGGCAAGACTCTGCCAAAGGAGTGAGCTACACCTCCAGTCTCTCATGGAAGGCCTTATAAATCACTGCCAGGGCTCTGCTGTTGCTGGCAGGTGGGGCGATTGCATTGGAGGATATCGAGTGGAGCAGGGACATGACTTGAATTTTAAAAAACAGTCTCGGGGGCGGCCTGATCCTCGACAGGTCTGCTCACTTCTCCAGGCGGCCCCTGTGAACCCTGAGCAGCAATTGTTGGTACATATGGTCACAGGCCTGGTGTCTTGCTCGCTGGCAGTGATGGCCAGCCAACAGCGCCACGGGATGAGTGGCATGTCGTGGGAACTTGGTGGGTCGTCTGTGTTCTGCACCTGTTGGTCCTGGAAGGAAGGGCTCAAGATGAAGGAATACGGTCAGGCTGGCTGGGCGCCCAGGGAGGCCGCCCACGGTAGAAAGCTCTGAGTGCGAGTCGCCGGGCTCCATTCACGGCATCGCCAGGAGCACCCAGCAGGTGGCGCAGCGGCGCCGGGTCCAGGCAGGCGACCCCACAAGGATCCCTCACCAGCCCTTGGGCTCCGGCTCACCGGCGCTGTCACTAACTAGCATCACCATCCGGGGCCCCTTGGGCGGTGGCAACACACACACAGCCGGAAGTCGGGTTTCTCGGCGCCCCCGTTTTCCAAGAAAGCTGTGATTAAGCGGCGGCCCTAGAAACCCACAAACGCAGCTGTTGAGTCTGAGTGAACCGGGAGCGCAGAGGAGGGAACAAGAATAGCTGAGGAGATTGGGAGGCCATTGGGAGGTCTGAATCCTCATGTGGCTTTCAAGCCTTGTGAACCTGGACCGGCCACGTAATTTCTGTGGGCTTCGGGTCCCTCTTCTGAATAAGCTGTTCTATACATACTTCACCGAGCTGGGGGAGATGGTTTACTTTCTTTAGGTCGTCTGCCCTATTCTGTTTTCAGAACCGGTTTGCGCCATCCGCTGGCACAGTCTGCCCAAAAAGACCTTATTCTAACCGGTTAGGGTCCTACCCAGAGAAATTCCACAGCGGCCAGTCCACGATCACAGAGCCACGGCAGACTGTAAGGCCACCAACCACCTGCTTTCTACGTCACCAAGGGCTCAGCCAGCCTGTGGGAAATCCAGAGCATGAAGGTTTGAGGGTCTGAAGACAGCTATGCCTGGGCTTCTACCCTGAGGGCACACTCCAGGAACAGGATGGGACCGCTGAACCCTGTGGGATCTAGGTAGGCTGCCACTCCTGCCTGTCAGGAGCCAGGAGAAAGCTGGGTACACACCCCCTGGCCCTCATCACCCTCCGTGAGCCAGCACGTGTGGAGGACTGGAGGCTCCCAGCCTGACCTGGTATATCTTCATGGTGAAATTGTGGGGGGAGGGATTAGAGGCAGATGGTGGAACGGAGGAGGAGGGCTTGGTGCGAGGAGGTGAGTTAAAGGTAGAGAGGAACACAGAGCAGGGAGAGGAAGAATGACAGGGGAATTACAATGAGGAGGAGGAAGGTGGGAGAGGGAGTGTGGGAAGGGAGAGCAAGGAAGAGGAGAGTGGGTGGGGAGGGCAGAGGAGGGAGCCTATTTGAGCAACCTTAGGACCAGAAAAGGGCCTGTGATTATGGAGAAGTGGCTTGATTGTGCTTAGAAGACCAAAGGTGTGGAAGCTGACACCCAAAGAGCATTCTGGATAGGAGGAGCAGGTCCATAGCCACCGAGGAGGAAAAAGCTTCTGGCTAGGACTTCTGGGGCCCTGGGAAGGGGTGGAGATTGCTGTGGTGGCTCAAGGAGGGGAAGGAGATCCGGAGATCTACCGGCCTGGCCTACAGGAACGAGAGAAAACACAGTGATGGCTGGATGTGAAATCTGGGGACCGGGAGCTGAGCTCTCCAAGGGATGACATCTACCTCTCTCCCAGCCCCTCAGGGAGTCACTGGGAGACCTAGGAGGGCTGGGCAAGGCTGGCTTTTTCCAGACAGGGAAAGGGAAGGGTTGGGGAGAATTCTCAGCATCTTCTCCCCCACATCTTAATCGTCTGCACCCACACCCTCTTCTCCTCCAGAACCTCTGTTGTTGGTGAGCATTAAAGGGAAGGGGACTAATTTCTCTCCACAGCTTCCTCTACCATTTCCTTGCTGGCCATCAAAGCAGGGAAATGAGGGTAAATAGGAAGACTTGACAGGCCTTGGCTTCCTGGGAGTGGCTAGCATTCCTTCCAAGCCAGTGGTTTTCAACCTGTGGGTGTGACCCCTAACCCTTTCCATAGAAGTCGTGTATCGGATACCTTGCATGTCGGAGATTTACATTACCATTCATAGCAGTAGCAGAATTACAGTTATGAAGTAGTGTTGAAAATAATCTTATAGTTGAGGGGAGGTCACCATAGCATGAGGAACTGTGTTAAAGGGCTGCGGCGTTAGGAAGGTTGAGAATCACAGCTCTAAGGAACATTATTTTGGAAATGGTGCTTGAGAAGGGCAGATGATATAGATGCCCTAAAGTGAAGCATTTTGTTCGCTTCTTTTGAGACAGGGTCTCGCTATGTATCCCAGGCTGGCTTTGAACTCATGGAAGTCCAGCAACCCTCCTGTCTCAGTCTCCCAAATGCTAGGATTATAAGCCTCTGTTGCCATACCTGGCAAAACCAAGGTGTTTGGCTCTGACTCTGAACCAGGAACCTGGGGGCCATGGAGGCTTTCATGCATCCAACAGACAGATTTAACTTTAGAAATATTTCGGATTGCTGGACCAGGATCCCAGAGGGAGGCTTACAGAGGATCCAGGCGGCTAAAGTCAGCATTAGACCAGAACGGAAGTAGGAAAAGGGGGGCGGGGAGGTGGATGGATACTCAGGAGTTACCCGAACATGAGCTGGGCAGAGGGGCTGGTTGGCTTAGAAGCTGAGGCAGGTTGGATGTGAGACACTAGGGTTTATGTAGGGGAAGGGGCCCAGGAAATCATGGAAAGCCAGGGCTGGAATTAGGATGCCAGACACAGGCTCAGAGGTTGGTATCTGAGAAGAAGAGGAAAGAAAGGAGGGGGTCCATCCCCAGCCTTGGGGCAAAAACAGCATTTAGAGGGAAGTGGAAGTTCCCAGTTGCTGATGGACCCATGGGGCTCAGGAGAGTGCACTGTGCCCCAGGGTTCCAGGAACTTGGGGCCAGAATACATCCAGAGTAAAAACCTTTGAAG